AGTTACAGCCTGATAGCTCTTTCTATTGAAATGAGCTTCAGAATGTAGACTCTAGTAAGTGCATATGTAAGTATTACTAACTATTTTCAAAACTTAATTATTTTCAGCAGATTAAATAGTTAGTAGTTAACTGCTGTATATATGTTAGTGTATTGCATGATATTATACAAACCGTAGCTTGAGCTTGGAAAGTACTTAGAGTTGTATTTACATACGTGTGTAAGTTTCTGAGAAAGTGTATGTGTTGGTGTGTGTGTGAGCTTAAGTTTGAGCGCAGTTTTTAGATAAGAGTAAACTAAGGAATTAGTTAAACTACAACAAATTGTACATGAATTGAACTGACAGTGTCTAAGAGTACGAAGAAAGGTTCTCTGCACACATACAAAAACCAATTACAATTACAATTACATATGTACAGGTCGGATTGCAACTGTTATACAGTTAAATAAAATACAAAATGATTCATTTTTATTTCATTTTTTTCGCATATTTCATTGCGTTATTTTTATTTGAATGATCAGCTTTTTTTTTTTAGGGTTTTTATATGTTTTTCTCTTGTTTGGTTTTTATCATGAGTATATTTGTTTTTTTTTTTCTTTCTTAAATTACCTATTGGTTTATACAATGTGAAATTACTAATATATTTTGCTGGGGCTTGAGTTTACCATTCATTAGATGTATGTATATATACAATTTTGAATTGTTTAGAATTTATGATGCGTTTATTTAAATTTAATTTAATTAAATTACATTTTGTGTTTTCCTTTTTTTTTAGTTTTAATTTTTTTTTAAACATATAATAACATTTTTTTTGCTGAACACATGTATTCCAAATTTTTATTTCATGTTTACGATTTATTGTTGTTCTTCTATTTGCTTTAGCTAGTTTTGTTTTAATTGTAGTGGCTCTCCGTCCTCTTTTTATTTTTGAAAACAAAATTCTAGTAATTTCGAAAATTATAATTTAATGGCTGATCTCTCTTAACGTGCTCTCTCTCTCTCTCTAACTTGTTATATATTTAGTATACCTAGGTATTCGTGCTAGCTCCTAAGTTTTTGTTTTGCCTATTTTAATGCTAAAAAAAAAACAACCTTATTTTACACACAATATATTTTTTTTTCTAATGCTAAAATCCCTCACCATAAATCATAAAACTTAAGTTTAAGTAAGCGAATTCTTTTCTTTATAAATAATAGCATTTTTTTTTTTGCTTGCTTTTGGTTTTTTTGTGTTAAAATGTCTGGAAGTTGTTTTTTGCTTTGTTGCTTTTTGGTTCTATTTTATAGATACAGGATGTTTTGGTATGACTAGATACAATACAATATATAATATGTAATATACATTTAATGACATTTCTATTTGCATTTCTGTTATTTTCGTTTTATTGTTGTATTTATTAAGTTATCTTTTTTTATGTTTATTTGATGCGTACAAAAATCCGATGAACTATTTACCAAAATTGCTATTTAAGAGGGTTGCAAGTGTTTTTTTTAGTGTATTTACAGCAGAGTTCTAGACACGCAACACTGCAGCCAGTCCCAGTTAATATGGGATTTTTAGTTAGGGCGGCGCTACATATAGAAATTCAACACATCTTACTTGATATGAGTGCGTCTATCTCTGGGTGGTGTATTTGAGATTAACATCCAAGGCTGACTAACTCTATCTGCAGCTGTTGCGTAAGGCGAGCATGCACTGTAGCGTTGAATTCTTTTTATTTTTCTTTTTGCAGTTTTCTTTGCTTGCCGTTGCGAAAGCGCCATTGAAATGCTAGTCAGATATTGTTGAGTGGGCAGCTGTGACTCTGTGAGAAGCGCAGAGAAGGATTCCTTAAGGCACTTGCACTTGCACTGCTCCCCAGCCGCGGAACCAGCCAGTTTCTTTCACTTTCTTTCTTCTGCTTCTCTTCTCTTCTCTTCGTTTTTCTTTAAATTTCTTTCCTTGTTCTTTTTCTTTTTCTTTTTTTGCGCGCGCCTCAAAATGCTCTGCATTGTTGCAAAAACTTGACACGATGTGTGTGTGTTGACATTGCTGTGCAGCCGAGCGTGTTGTGGGAGTGTATGTGTGTTTGTTAAGGGGGTGGGGTGGGGGTGGGACTTTGACTGCTCATTTGTCTGGATTCTGTGATTCTCGGTACTCGTTTCACGTTGTGTCTGTGTGTGTGGACGGTTTGCAAAGCATTAATATTCATGCTTGAATGCTTCTTCATCTTACCCTTGTCGCTTCGTTTTACATATAATTATTTTCAATATTTTTATTATACCCTTGCTGACAGTCCTGTTTCAATTTGAAAACACATTTGTGTAACATACTCAAGAGTTGAGGTCTTGCTCTGAAGTTATCTTTTGAAAACTTGGTACACCTTTGCTCGTCAACTAGATGAATGTGGCTAATATAAAAAGCAAATAAGCAAATAATTTTGATTACCAAATAAACGAAACGTAGGAAGACAGCTGCTGTATTGGAACACATACATCGATTGAAATGGATTTCTTTGATAATCTATACTAATCGGATTTGAAACTTAAGTCTTGGTACAGTCAAAAGTCGAAGCTAGGCAGGATGTTTTAAACTTGGTAACAAGTCAGCAAGGGCTTTTAATATGCGGCATGCCGCATACTTTTGTTATATAATCTGTATAAATAATCTTTTATTTCATAATATATATAAATATGGCGCATATATTGTTATAAATAATATATGCTATATCGCTTGTATAAATATGTGCCGCTGCGTTATATACAGTTATATACATATATATATATATATATATATATATATATATATATATATATATATTTATAGATATACATATTTATATATATTTATGTATACATATATATATATATGTACATATGTATATAGATATATATATAAATTTATGTATATATACTTATAATTTATAAGTAAATACAGTCCATGCAAATGCAAATTTGCACAGTTTCAGTCGACTTGTTTCTGTAGATTTAATATTTTTGGAATTTTCTTTGGTTTGGTAGACGGCATCCGAAATTTAATTGTGCTTCTGGGTGGGGGAAAAGAGGAGGAATGCTGGTTAGGGGCGTGTCACAATGTCAACACATACACACGCACAGAAGCGCGCACACAAATGAGAAAGAAAAAATTGTTTTAACTATTCAGAAACTCATTCCCTTCTTCGGTCTTTGCGGCAAGCAAATTTCAGTTTAGTATTGTTTTGGAGATTTAATATTGTGATTTATCGAGCTCACATTTGAAATTATCTGACCATACAAAATGTATATGTTGATGTGTATGTCTGTGGGTATATGTACATGTTTCTCATTGTACTCAATACATACGTACATATGTACATAATTATTATGCTTTATTTTAAAATCATAAGAGCGTTTGCCTTCTTCCTTATCTCCAGTATTTAGTATTTTCATATTCTCCTCTTTTTATATATTTGTATTATTTCAGTGACTTTTTATATGTATAATATTAGTTTCATTTAATTGCAGTCGTTTTTTATATATATTTTTGTTTTTGTTAGTATTGATTTGATGTCTTTAGTTAATTTTGTGATAAATTGTTGGTGATAATGAATATTTGTACTTTTTATTTCGTTTTTATTCGGGGGGAGTTTTAAGCAGAATGTTTTGCAGGTTCGCTTTATACATTTGAACATTCGTACATACATGTATTACATATATGTATGCAGTAAGTATTATGCTTGATTTTATTCCCATTGTGGGTGGGCGGGTTAGTTAAGCTTGGTTTGTTAGGTAGTTGGGATAGTTAAGTACATGAACTTTTTAGATTTAGTGTAGTAAGTTAGTATTACTAGAAAAACTCCTGTCGTCGCTGACTACAAGTTAAGAACAGTCATATAACTAAACCAAAGATCAAAGCTGGCGTCCTTTCAGGTGAATAAAGTCATTTATAAAACTCAACTTTTTGGTACAGTGGGGCACAGTCAATTCCTATACGAACTCTTTTGTATGTATATGTATATGTATATGTTTAGGTGTATTTGAAGTTAACATCGTTTTGGTATTTAGGTTATTTATTATGCTGTCACAGTTAAAAAGCATTTATTATCTGCTTATAACTATATAAATTGAAATTTTTGATTACATATAATATTACGGCAGTTTTCACAATGGATTTACGTTTAAGCTTTTGTCATTGTTGATGAGTGCTGTGAAATGTTCAATACTAATGGAGCCTAGCCTTAAACAGCTGAAAATGGTACGAGGAGTCATTTTATTGAATCTTTAGCCCTAATAGTAATTGTACTCTCAATAAGCACGGAAATGGACATTAGGATTGTCCATTATTCAAATATTTGCATTTTACAATCAAATGAATCGGTTGACCTGTCCTATTGTAGGCTGAGCTAGGATAGAGCTAGGATATATCTGTTATTATTGTAAGACTCTATTTTTATTGTACTCAGCATAAATAAATATTGAGTAAGACAATCACGAAGTGAATTGCTTGAACTGATCTCATATTGGACGTTGATTTACTAACGAACAGTACATTCAAGTGGCCCAACGATACCAAGCACGGACTTGTTAGCGGACTATATGCGGTGGCGAAGATCATGAATTTCTTAAGCTTACTGCTTAATTTCCTATGCGGCTTTAATGTGAGTATGTATGTCTCTGTGTGTGTGTGTGTGTGTGTGTGTGCATGTCAATAATGCCTAATTGTATGAACCCTTATTTGATTTTCAAGTTTGGCTTACGGCTCTGTCAATTTCACATGTGTGATTAAATTAAATTTAATATGGATTAAATGTTTGTTTTAATTTATTTATATAGATTTTTTTTGGATTTTCTTTTCGATGTTTTTATGTGTATTAAAGTTATGTTATTGTTTACTTTACGCATTAAATTATTAATATTATTTATATATATAATTTTAAATACATACATATTTATATTATTTTCTGTTTGCTTTTGTATTTTTGTGTTGTTAAATTTAAGATTTTAATTTAATTTAATTAAATTTAATTAAATTTAGCAATCGCTTTAATTTGTTTTGTTATTTGTTCTACTTAAAGTAAACTTAAATAGCATTTGTAGTCGTTTCTGGCATCCAACGTAACACTCCACAAGGCCAATCTTACCCCACTTAACATCAATTTAACTAACCCCATATTATTTATGATACAGATTCATGTTTTGCCAAGTGGTCCATTAATATACCAAAGATACATAAGTAATATGCGTAGTATAAATTATAAAGATACATACAAATATATATTTTAATAATATATATATATTTTAATATAGATTTAGAATGAGACATACGTATATACATATAGGGCATATCGCGTGGGATAGAGCAAGAGAGCGCGCGCACGTGGATAGAAAAAAAAGAGAAAATAGTTTAATGCTTATAAAAAAGTCAGCTTCAATTATTTACGAATTAAAAGATTAGCATAAAAATATTGAGTTTGATAATATGATCCACAGATCAGATGATCCAGCTGAAAGCGCCATTTTAATATTCTATGTAATTACAACGGAGAGATGAATTTATAAATCTTCGTCAGCTTTCCGCTGACTTCATGTGACACTTTTATCTCACTTAATAGCTTTTTGAACGTATTCTTCGCGCATTCACAAAATAGTAGCTTTTACGAATTACATTTGACTACTTTTACTGTTACACAGCACCCATTTTCGCTGAGGTCTACTAGTGTTGCAAAATGTCACTTCCAGCTGGTGTCATTGTTATATTATAAGATTAAGCTGCAGGTTTTTTGTGCATGTGCAATAGATGGGAATCGAGTTAAGTGCTCAAGACAAAGAGAAAGAGTGGGATATATATGTATATATATATATAAATATATTTATTTATATATATATATATAGATCGAGAGAAAGAGAGAGAGAGAGAGAGAGACAAAGTGAATTGAAGAAGGGGAGAGAAGAAGATGAAGATAGATGGAGATTGAGCTTAGCTATCTGCTCAGTTTGAAAATATGTTGCGCTTTTAGGAAGCATACGAAAGGTTTGACAATTTCATTTTGGTTTGGTTTTGGGGATAAAAGTGGGCTAGTGTGCGAGTAAGACTGATGGAGAAGAAGGGGGTGGGACAGTTAAGGAGAGGTGAAAGATAGCGAACACTTACCCAGTAGTCAAACGTCGGTCTCGATGCTAACAGCCAGCGCATTGTTGTGCCTCATTGTGAGACTGCTGCCAGCGCTGCCAGTTGCCACATTGACGCTTATTGTTGACTGTAGCTGCTTGAAGCCATTCTGCTGATGTTGCTGCTGTTGTAACTGTAGCTGCTGTAACTGTAATTGCTGCTGCTGATGCGGTGACGTCGCTTGCAGCTGCATCGGCGTGGCTCCCAAAAATGGAGCAGCTGCTACACTGCGTCCAGGATGTGTTTCAGTTAATCCCGGCGTCGATTCAACACCATCGTCCAAATCCATCATATCCGATGAGGACTCAGACAACGATGATTTCTTCAAGTGTTGACCTACTTGTAGTTTTATGCATTTGTTTAGTGTTGTTGTTCAACGTTGTTGATCGTTGTTGTGGTTGTTGTTGTTGTTGTTGTCGCAGTGTTTTCATTTGGTTTTTTTTTTTGAGTATTAAACAAAGTTGTTGTTGTTGTTGTGTGTGTGTGTGTGTGTGTGTGTGTGTGTGTGTATGGTTCGATTGTTACAGTGATGGTTGACAGGTGACGGAAGGGCGTGGAGGGTAGTTGGATTCATTGGATTGCGTTCGGTTACGTTGGGTTATACATTGAATTTAATTTTGGATATGGATTGGTTTCGGATTGTGGAAGATTTGATTACAAATAATTGTTTCAAGTTCAAGTTCGATAGCGATAATTATCGAATTTGCAATACGATTTGACGGAATAAAGAGAGAAACAAAAAGAAGAGAGAGAGAAGAGAGAAAGAGGAGATCACACATACAGTTGTAATGTATTTATTACAAAAATGCTTTTTGTTGTAGTTCTTGTTACACACAAAACACACAGTACGTGTAATGTATACGTTTTTGTAGGTCCATGTAGTACACACAGTGTTGCCACATGCGCGAGGCAGCAACATTCACACACACTCACATCTGGCAACACGGCGTGCGCTGATGCGTACATTTTGCAGTACGCCTGGTACGGCAACGCCGCCGCATCAAGCTTTCATAATGCCTACGATTCGTTTCTTTCTTCGTAAATGTTTCTATTTTTATTCAACATGGATTGTATTTGCACTAGATATGCAGGCGACTGTGTGTGTGTGTGTGCGTAATGTTCGAGTATGTGAAATAGTGAGAGGTAAATTGTTTATGTGTTTGTGTGTGTCTCTCTCTGTGTGTGTGTGTGCGTGTGTGTGTGTGTGTGTGTGTAGGTGTATGTCGTAACGTGTTAGTGTGCTTGTGGTTTTACTTTGAGACCGTCCAGTCGGATGTGATTATGATACGAGTGGAGTGGAAGATATCGAGGCACAGTGCACATTTCAACTTACCTAATGTACCTGGCAAATATGGACAACTAGTAACATGATTAAAGTTTTGGCTCTGCATCTCCTCCTGATCCGTTTCGCGGTGATAGAAGTAATTGAAATTACTGACGATAACCGGTACTGGCAGTGCGATTGTCAGCACACCAGCAATAGCACACAATGATCCCACAATTTTGCCCCAAACGCCGACGGGTCTGTTTTTGGTTTTTGTTTAATCGTTTATCGATATCAATTTATTAATTTCAGTTTCAATTCGTTTCATTTATGAATTTGTTGCATATCGTGTGTCAAACGAATTTCAATGCAGTACATTTTCCAATTTGTGTTTTTTTCATTTCCATGTTTTTTCCGTATATGTTTTGTTGGCGTTTTCCCATATATTCATATTTATTGGGTATTGAATTTTTTGTTATGGATTTTTGATGCGATTGTTTGTTTTAACAGTTATTTGTTTTTTTTTTTACGATTGATATTTTTGATTTGTTGTAGTGATTAAATTGATTTGAGGTATAGATATATATATATATATTTATATATATTTATATATAGATTTTATATATTGGATTTTTGTTTGTTTGTTTTGGATGAAGCGAGCGATGTTAACGAACGAACGATAAATAAAATGAAAATACAAATATATAAGAAATGTAAAGTAAAACTCTCTTTTTTGATTTCAATTTTAGTTTTTAGGTTACATTTTTTTTTGTATATCAGTGATTGGCATTATAGAATATGTACGTATACAAGTACGAGTATATTTGATTATAGGCAATAGCAGTAGAAACAGTAAAACGAAATAATAGTTTAGCAAAGAGTACTCGAAATTAGGCACAACACTTAGAACAAGTAGCGTTAGGAGTGTTTTTTTTTTTTTTTTTTTTTTTCTTTTTTGCTTTGGCTTTGGGTAAAAGGTTCTCTCTTTTATTATTTTATAAGTATGTAAGTATGTGTATATATAAATATTTTTTGCTTAGATGGCATAGTCGTGTATGTGTGTGTGTGAGCGTGTGTATAATATACATATGCATTGCATTTTGTGCGCGAGAAAGTAACACAGGTGTACAGCAAGTTGAAGCGAGTGCGGGTGAGACAGCAAGAAAACTTGTGTGTGCCTGTGTGAATGTGTGTGTGTGTGTGTGTGTGTGTGTGTGTGTGAGTGTGTGTGCGTGTAAGGAAACTTTTTGTGACAGAACTACTCAAAGTTAACCGCGTCTCTGGGCATGGTAAGGTAAAGCAGCGAGGGCAAAGGTTGTGTTCGGGACGGAAGCATGAAGCGGGCAGCGGGTGATGTAGCGGAAGATAGAAGCTGCTGCTGCTTATTGGATGCGTTGGCTGAGGCAGCGCTTTTGGACTTGTCTGGTTGGATATTACTTAGGTACGGTCACGGCTAAATAACTTTGCATGTGTGTTTGTGAGTGTGAGTGTGTCTGCTCCTCTGTTTGGCTGTATAAGTGGTGTATTTGTTTGTGTTAGGGCATGCAGCATGCGTTCAAGATAAGAGCAGAGTTAAGAAAATTGCGCAAAATGTGTTATCGGTATCGGTATCGGTAACGGTATCGGTATCGCTATCGATATTAGCTAAAGCCACTAGCCCAAGCTGCATCAGTTGCAAGGGTCGTGGCATACTGCACTAAATAAACGCAAGTTAAAATGGTATAAGAACGTCTAACTTCAGTGTTTCGCGTTTGTGTTCGTGTGTAGTGTGAGAGTGTTGATTTGATGAAGATGTCGATGGGCGAACACTGTACACACAGGTATACAGTGCCAAATAGATGAGAAGAGTTGTGTTTGTAAAGTTCTGTATGTATGTATGGGTTTTTATTTGTATCTTTGTTGGGTTTTTGAACTAAACAACGACACAACGTTACATTGATAATGATAGAAAAACTTGTTCATTTTATAGAGTTTTTCCAAACATTTCAGTTCAATTGCGTTTTCACTTTAGGCAAAGGCAATTTGCGTAACCAAAAGTCGGGCAACTGCAAATGTTGCTTTTGCTTAAGGCTATCGGGTAATAGAACCAGAACAGAACGGTACGCAATGCAGCGCAACGCAACGCAATGGAACGGTACGGTACGGAACGGAACGGTAACAGAACACAGTGGCAACACAAGATATAAGTAGACGGTTAGGTAGATAGGCAGGTAATTAAGTGTGTATAAGTAGATCTCACAAAATAGCTATAAACCTTAATGAAAATATAGTAATCTCTTTAGTTTGTAGTCAAAATGAGGAGCGAAACGAAATGAAATCGAAATGAACCAAGACGAAACAAAACGAAACGAAACGAAACGAAAGGAAAAAGCGCAGCGATTCAAACTTTGTGATAAATGAAAAATCAAAGTCTATACGCATTAGGCAAACAAATGTTGTAAGTGTTTTTCTCTTTTCATTTTTCTGGGTGAGTATTACAAACTTTGGTTAGTAATTGATAAGATAAGAAGGAACTGAAAAACGCTTGGCGAAATACTGTACAAATAATGGACAACACTGGAGCGCAACTGGCACGCACAAAAAATGTATAAACAAGAAAATAAAACTCAGAATCGATAACATAATCATAAACAGGAACATAAACAGAATTGTAATCAGAAAAGTTAGAGTTGTAATTGTATAGATTTGCATACGTCATGTCACCATATCCAACGGTGGTCATGGTAACGACCGCCCACCAAAATGCATCGGGTATGGACTTGAAGAAGGAATTTTCGCTTCCAGCTTCCGCAAAATAAACAGCCGATGAGAAGAGTACGACGCCTAAAAAAATTGATGGGAGAAATTGCTTTGCATTGGTTCCGACTCGATAATATATCATAAACATAAGTGTTTTTTTTTGGTTTTTCTTCTTTTTTTTTTATTTATTAAATATATATTGTTTTTTTTTATGTTTAAAGTTTTTTAAATAAAAAATAACTTGAAATGAAAACAGTATTGTATTCTGCTTTAGTTGCCGATTTGGCTGGGCGTCCGGCAAGTCCTTGTCTGTGGGATAGTCTCGGGCTGGATACGTGTGAACGGTCCGGCAGGTAATACTCTCTATGTGTGTATGTGTGTGTCAGAGTGTGTGTATGGGTGTGTGTATGTGTGTCTGGGTGTGTGTGTGTGTGTGTGGTAGTGTATTCTGTAGAACGTGCTATACAATGTGTGAGCTGATTTTCTTATGAGCCGGGACATTGCGGACAAAACGGAACAAAGTGTGCAACTTAAATCGGAACCGGATACTTATTGTAGCGATTTCATTTGAAGCGAGCTGTATAAACCCGCCCGCTTTCCTGCTGCACAGCATTGTGTAGCACGCTTTTCAGATTGGCTGAGCCTATTTAAAAACAGAACGCTGTTTAGGGGGAAGATTTGAGTTTTGGGTTCTATTCAAAATGGCGTGACAATGAGAAACTGAGCCGCGGCATTCCCAAGCAGAAAAACGAGTGGGCTGGCCTATCCAATAGTGGGCGTGGCAATTGGTTGAATCGGTTTCTGGTGCGCTTAGCTCTGTCCAAAAAATATGGTGATATCTCATTGATCAACGACGACGACGACGACGACAACGAAGAAAACGACGACGGCGACAATGGACAAGTGTTTCAAAATAAATTATTGATGGAAATTTTTCTTGTTAATTATTTAGTTATATTGCTTGTGCGTGATATTCGACTAGTGGGATGGTTTATTATTCTGCTTGGGGTACTGGAAACTCAAGATCAGAACTAGACAGAACGAAATGAGTAACGTGAGAACCGAAATATAGGACATGCTAAACACAAGATCAAAACAAAAATAAAATAAAAGTGAACAATAACATGGTCCAATAAAATAAAAAGTGTTCTTGACTTTGGCATAAAATGAAAATCAAACAAAAGTTATAGTAACAAGAAATAGAGTTAAAATGAAAATGAGAATCGCGCATTTTGTTAAATGGTTAATGAAATCGTTAAGTATAGCTGGTGAGCGACAAAGAGAGCGTTAAAGAGAGAAAGAGAGAGAGAGAGAGAGAGAGAGAGAGAGAGAGAGAGAGAAAGAGAGATAGAAAGAGAGAAAGATAGACGCAGAAAGAGGGCGAGAGAGTGTAACTGGGAAGGGTTACAGCGGGCGATTACGATCACAACAATGAACGACCACAAAGGACGACGATGCAAAGACAACGATGATCTGGATGTCACATGAAATTGGGCTCTATACAAGGCACAGATAGTACGACTAGATACAGATATAAACACACAGAGTATAGTTACAGATATATAGAGATAGAATTAGCTTAGTCGGTTTGCTTAAAAAATATATATATTTTGTAGTAGTAGTAGTAGTAGTAGTAGTAGTAGTAATAGTAGGTTTGCAAGACACATAAAATAGGTATTTATATACATATTTTGACATAACTGTACATAAGAGAATTACGGGAAATACGCCTGGGTTTTCCAAAATTTGAAAATTGAAAATTGAAAACATCAGTTATAACTGACAAGCTTGCTCGAGGGATACAAAGAGAAAGTTCTGGAATGGGGTATGAAATACAACTATGGCATTGCAATAAAATTGCGAAAGATTCGTTGTTTACTTAAGGAACTCATTTATACAACGATTTACAAGTTAAAAATCAAACAAAATATGAACGGAGAAAGACAGTGTGGGTGTATGTAAATGTGTGTGTGAGAGAGAGAGAGAAAGAGAGAGAGAGAAAGAGAGCAAGATATCATGTAAGGAAAGCTATTAGTTGCTCTCTTTGATATGCTGGAGAGAGAACCTAATATACACAAAAAGATAAAGTAAACACGGTTAGAGTGGGACACTGAACAAATGCACTCGTAAATAAAAAGACAGTAAGTGAAAGACAGACAGAGAGAGGGAGAGAGAGAGAGAGAGAGAAAGAGTTATAGAATAATTTTTAGCGCTATGTTACAAGGAGCAGTTAATAACTCAGTTAGTTGGGTAGACACACAAATTGAGCAGCGCAGTTGCAGTTAATTTGTTTGATTTTTCTGTTTTTTTTTTGGTTTTTTGGTTTTTTTTGTTGTTGTTATCATTGGATTGATGCAGATGTAATGTAAGTTGTACCTCATATCACCATATCCCACCGTAGTCATGGTCACCACAGCCCACCAGAATCCGTCGGGTATGGACTTGAAAAACGAACTCTCGCTGCCAGCCTCCGCAAAATAAACCGCCGATGAGAATAGTACAACGCCTGGGCGCAATTTTAAACAGAGATCAGCGATAGATTAGTTTCAGTTTCAGTTTCACTTATGATAATTTATACATATATTTATTTATTGGATGATTTGAACAGATATTGAGAAAGAGAGGGAGTGTTTTAATTAGTTGTTTTCTGCTTGGGTCTGAGCGCTGATCATCGTACGTTTCATCTGCATTGGAACCATTCAAAAACCTTAAACATTAATTGCAATGTGTGAATATGAAAGGAACCCCAAATGTTGTTCAGTGTAGTGTATAGTATTAAGAATCTCATTTTCGGGTGCTCTTTAGTCGAGTCGACTTCGACCTTCGACCTTCGACCAATGATCTTGACTTGGTTTAAATTATGTTTCTTAAAAAAAAAACTACAGGATATACATATTTGTATATGAAAGAGTTCGTTTCCTTTCATTTTATACGTTACATAAGATTATCAAAAACATCGGATTATTCATAATTTTTTGCATAATTTATTTAGTTTTTTTGTGATATTTTTATTCTATTCTGTGCAAAAACTATAAAGAAATGTGTTACAAAAAGATATTTCAAGTGATAAAACGTTTCAAAACTGTGTGTAAATCACATTATAGAGCAAGTATGTTTGTCTGTGTGAGTGTCAGTTGTACCTTGTTATATATATAATTATATATATATATTTATGTATGTCTAATATGTTAAAGTGTATATGTTTGTTTTGTGTGTGTGTATGTGTGTGTGTGTGTGTGTGTCACATAAATATATCGCAAAATATTACAAATTGAAATTAAGGGAAATGCTCACAACGAAAATCGTCGGTTAAAACCGAAGTCTTAGTGCACAAATGTCAATCCTTCTTTCCGTGTCTCTATCATAGAGCTTCAGAGCGTCTAGCTCAACATTTGTGCAATACTACTAATCAGCGCATTAGATATGCGACATATTATCGATGTATCGAATAATTAAGTAAAAGTAAACTTTTCAGGTTATGTTAGTAATATTTCTACTTCTGCAACTACCTATATAGAATATCACATTATATAGTTTGGTAGTACGAGTTGTTCACAGATTTTGTAATTGTTTTTATTTATTTTTTTTATTATTTTTTTTTTTGTAATTGTAATTGTGGAGATAAACAGAAACTAGCTAATTAAGTACTTTGTACAATACGGTATACATATATTATTTGTAAATTTTAGTTAATATGATATATGTATATATACGACTACGGCAAGGCAAATAATATAAGAAACATAAATCAAAAGAGAGACAAAAACATGAAGACACCTAGTTCCTGTTGAAATCGGCCACATCGATGCTGATGCACATACATACATGGTTGCCCCATTAGTGATTGTATAGCTTTCACTCATCTATATCGTACATACAAACAAGCACCTTGTGAGTTTTGTAAAGTTATGATAAACTAATTTGGTGTGTGGTCTGTTTTTTTTTTTTTTATATATATAGATGCATTTATACATATGGTAAGTACATAAAGATCGCTCTATATAGCAGGCGCTAGTATTTTGGCTAAATATCCTGCACTTTTTGTAAGCTTTAAAACTTAATACAACAATAAAATTAACAAAAACACAAACAAACTTAATTCAACGCAATGCAAAGGAACTGAACAGCCTCATATACATTTATTTTATAAATATATTTTTTTCAATATACATTGTATGTAGGATATATAAAGAAGTATACTATATATATCATATACACATAAATAATGGTTAGAGTTAATAATTCAACGGATACAACAAACAAACTAAAAACTAAAAGCCAAAGAAACGACATCAATAACAGCGTAGATGAAGTTACGTTTACAAATACGATTACGATTACGATAACAGTTACGATTACGATTACGATTACGATTACGATTACGATTACGGTTACGTTAACGTTTACGTTTACGTAATGCGAAACAACTTGATTATGTTAAGACGTGAACAACAATTTAAAATATGTATGGGTAAGTATATATTAAAGATATGTTTTTTGTAGTTACTTCTCATTTTCCAAAAAATTCGCATTTTATATATTTCGGTAATGTTTCTAGTAATTTTCTAGCATTTTCTAGATTGTTTTTTTTTTTTTTCTTCTTGGACAATTCAACGCTAAGAAGTGTGCCAATTTTAAGGCATTTTGTGCGCAGTTTGTGCAGAAAACAGAGTTATAGAACAGAATAGATAAAATCCATAGAAATAAGCATTAATTGATAGATTGTGGAAAAAGAAAAATGATTCAAAATAGGATTTATAGTGTAGGATGTGAATGCATGTAAGGTAAGATGGATAGTGAACTGCAACAAAATACGTTTGGACCTTAAAATTGCCAACGACTATAGCGGGGGGCGTTTATAAAAACCATGAAAATTATGTTTTTATTTTGTCAAAGTATATCAGGAGTAATAGACTAAAATTCGAGTACATTGACATTGATTGTTCGTTTTCTAGCCAAAAGACGATCAAAAAGATATAGTCATACATATATCTAATGCATATATATATTAAATTTACTGTTACGGTTACTGTTACATATACTGGTACCGAATAGCTATGTAAATCTGTTCCGGGCCCATATAAAAAATATCAACTGTGGCAGGTATATATTTAAGTAATACTTAAGCTAATTAGTAGACGAAAATATTTTATGGTATATACGTAGTGGAAAAATACACGTACACGTACACAAATACATGTGTATAAGTATATGCATCGATATTAAGCTCTAGAGGCACCTAGGTGTATGCTGCGTCGGGTTTTAGCTAGATAAGCTACTCGTATTATGTAACTAAGTAATAGGTTTTAGTTTAGTTTAGTTTAGATTGGTTTAGTTAGGTATATATATATAGTATAGATAGAGTAGTAAATTGTATAGACATGTTTAATTCTTGAGTTGGTATTTTCATGTATACGTAATATATACTGTTATTGCTAGGTAGTAATTAGCATTAACTATATTGAATAGTATATTACTTTCATGTAAGGTTTACTTTAGTTTAGCTTGTACTTGTACTTTGATCATAGTGCATAATAGTAGCCAAAGAGCACAGATTCCCAAATAATATAGGGCATATGCTGAATTTACTTTAACTGTGCTTGGTTATTGTCCGATATCAACTCACAAACTGACAGACAGAAAAGATCATTCGACCGAAAGATGATCTTTATAATGTGGTTTTAAGCTCTGGGGCTTGGTCGGGTTTTGGGTAATTGAAATGACAAATCATAATTGTTAAAAAGCAAATAAATTTACTTAGTATTAATTCGCTCGATATCGATATAGAGTCGATTGCTTTTCTTGTTTTTTTTTTTTTTTTTTTTTTTTTTTTTGTGTACGAGGATTGTTGTAAACAAATGGTGAGTATTTTAAAATGTGCTGGCTGTTATGAACTTCATTTATATAATGTATATCTAAAGTTTGCTGTAGTTGTTTGCTGTTGTTTTTTTTTTTTTTTTTGTATTAATTAGGAAGAGGAGTTTTTGCTAACGTTGTGATATTCCGAAACAGTAAATATGTTAATAGGTCTGTCTGAGTTGTGTGTGCTTTGTTTAGTAATAGTTTTGTTAGGGCAACAAGTTAAGTTATAAGGTCGCTGGTCGTAAAGGTCATTGTTAATATCATAATAGATTGGTATATTGGTTGGTACATAAGTAAGCAGTTTTGTAGGTAGGTGTAAAATATAATATAGTGTGTATGTGTGCTTTGTTTTTGTTGTGTTTGTTGTTTGCTTGTTTACTGTTGTTGCAATTGGTTTGTTGACTGTTTTGTTGTTAACTTACCTATAAATAAGAAAAATATAAGTAAACCTAATTCCCGCATTGAGGCTTTCAGAGTTCGTCCTAATATTTGTAAACCCTTCGAATGCCTAGATAACTTAAATATTCGAAATACTCGAACTAATCGTATCACTCGTAATATTGCCAAGGACATAGCCTGATTCGATGACTTGTCCTAAAAATTTATAATTATTTATAGATTTGTATATTGATTTGTATGCAACAGATGTAAGTAAGTAGTATTTCATATAGGTAAGTATGTATAAGTAGAGTATATGTATATATGTATAAATATATATATGTGAGGTGGATATCTGTATATATTTATATAGCTGTATTGTATGTATGCATGTGTGAGAGTGTGTGCGATTTGGTTTCTTTTAACTCGTGTTATGTAGTTTAGTTTAGTTTAGTTTAGTTTGGTTTAGTAAGTTAGTAATATACAACAATTATTCGTACTGTTACGATTGTACAAGAGCACTAGGATAGGCATTTAAATGTACATAAATATCAAGTATTTTACGTAGGCAAAAGCATTGCTATCAAATCATTAGCTGGTTATATAATATGTACGTATTTATTTATATGTTCAATGTCTGTCTCATTTGAGTTAACACATCCATATTTTTATGTAAGTAGAATGGGAAATAAAAATCATAAAATTCAATACAGGCAGTTTTATAATAAATTTATTGTTACATATGAACAAAATCAAACAACGCGACAATTGGCTTATTTCTTTTTTTTTGTTTTTTTGTGTATTGTTTTGTTTTTGTTCAATAATTTGTAGGCAAACAAAAACAATAACAATACAATTATTTTGTTAATATACAATGTACATGTTTCTTGTTTTTGTGACAGTGTATGTATGTATGTATGTGTAGTTGTGCGTATCTGTGTGTGTGTATGTGTGTGTATGTGTGTGTGTGTGATTTAGCATTACAGTTTTGGCCAAACAAAATCTCATACCTGTGGACTGACTGGCGCTTTTGGAAGATTTAAGGTATCCTCCTCTTCGGCAACGACAGTCGCTAGTGTTATAAAGTACGGAATGATGGCGATTATGTCGATAACATTCATGACATCCCTGCAGAAATTTAATTTGTTCGGACATGCGAGGAACCTGCGCGGGCGCGACAAAATATAAAACAATACGATGTCACGGAGAGAAAGAGAGAGAGAGAGAGAGAGAGAGAAAGAGAGAGAGAGAGAGAGAAAAAGAGAGAAAGAGAGAGAAAAAGAGAGCAAGAGATGGAGACAGAGAGAGAGAGAGAGAGAGAGAGAGAGAGGGAGTAAAGTTTAGAGACAGAAATGAGACAAGTAAAAGAAATTGGATGATAGGGAGGGAGAGAGAGAGATATATTGGTTGAGACACAGAAAGTAATACAGCGAAAAGGAGAAAAAAGAGCAAAAAGAAAAACGTACAAATATTGCATATATATGTAGATCAATATGTTCTATCAATCATCAGGTCATTATAAACTAAGCGATAACAAGTGATATAAATAATATGGACAAGCTACTCAACTAATATAGATACCCCATAAAGAGTAACTGCCGCCTAATTTATTCTTATGCAGTCTTTTATTGCAAGAACAATTTAGGCCTGACTAAACATAATTGCAAGCGCTACATGGAACATCAAGATGGTGACATACCTATGGTTTGTAATTCTAATTTTGGGTACATATTCGTTTATTTGCTACTCTCTTGCATAAAACGATGAATTCAACCGTAATTTAAGAAGTGATCTTAATTAATTTTTAGAATATATTTTATAAAAAAGTATATATACATATACATATATAAAAATATATAATATAATATATATTCATATAACTGCTCAAAAAATAATTTTCTTAGCCCTAAATTTTTCACAAAACTGCAGTACCCTAAGTAACCTAAAACTAAGCATGCAACAATCTCAACTTATTTAATACCCTATTTTAATGTTATAAGCAGTGTTATATATGTATATGATGTGAAGATTGTGATAGAATTCATACCTGACAGTTAGCTCAAATGTAAACCAAATAATACATAACGTTTCTATAAGGAAGAAAGGATCTGTGATGTCAGGCACCTCGTCTTCCTCGATTTTTGTGCCATTTGTTGTTGTATTGAACACCTGCAATTAATTATGTAAAGTGGTACGAACATAAATTAACGATTTATAAATCGTGAGTATTGTCAAAGATTTGTTTTGTTTTTTTTTTTTTTTTTTAAGAGTAGTACGCACCTTGTAATGCTTAAATTCGGGTAATGTTTCTAGACAAAATATAACAATTGATAGCAATATAACAAATACACTAATTATGGCTACAACTCTGGCGGCTTGCGAGCTCTCTGGGTACTCAAAGAGAAGCCAGACTTTTCTTTGTTTCTCATTATCCGGTAATGGTCTTTCTTCCTCTTTAATAAAGCCTTCATCCTCTCTGCGCATAAATAAAATAGAAAATCAAGTATATTTTCAGGTTATGTAAGCACCTCAATATTATGTGTATGTGATTGTGTAGATGTGTGTGTGGGTGTGTATTGAAGCTTAAAGTTTCTTAAAAAAGTGGATTTATTTATTTATTTTATATATTTATTTTAAGTTTTTTTTTTTTTTTTTTTTTTTTTGTAGCCCTAAGCAGCGATTTGGTTTGGCAGCCAATTGCAGAGCTTGACAATCACTAATCGCTAATCATAATATACTTTTCGTAATCGCTTATTGAAATTGATATTCTGCAACTAAAAACGATGATATAAGGATATTAAATACAGTTGTGTTGAAGTGTTAACAAGAGTTGTAAGAAGTGTTTTTGGCTGCGAATTATTCGTTTTCTTCTGGCCTCTTCTTCATTTTATTTAGCTCCGTCTTCTTTGGGTCGCTCTCGCTCTCGCTCTTTCTGGGCTTTCACGGTTCCGGCCACCCTTTGTACCGTATGAACAAAATTTTAAGCTGGTGGTCAAGTGATTAACAAGTGAAATCGACAACGTCTTCCAGTTTGCTATTCGCCATTCTCTCGTTCGTTCCGTTATTGTTTTTGTCTGCTGTCTGTCTGTGCGCGTGTGTGTGTGTCTGTGTGTGTGTGTGTGTATCTTTTGTGTGATATTTCCTTTTTGGTTATATCTTAAATGCAATTCCCATGAAAACCACAAAACATACGTAACGCTCAATAAACTTCAACAGTCGTCAATTGACTGAATAACCACAAAGTCAATAAAAACATATGCAAATACTAAACAACAATACGAGCATGTGTGTGTGTGTGTGTGTGTGTGTGTGTGTGCATTGTTCATAGTTTCATGGAACACTCCAAGAATTATCACATTTTGTGGCTTTTATTTGTGTCAAGACATAGGATTAGAATACTCGGAGTTCAGACAGTTCAAAAACTGCTATAGGAACTATCGAGTGAATAATATGTTCTCAGCAATTAGAGAAGAGTAAAAGTTCTTTCAAAGCAATGCTTTTTTTTTTTAATTGAAGTTCATGTATTTAAAATTCAAAAGTTTTATATGCTCCTAGAGAAGTAAAAGTTCTTTCAAAGCAATGCTTTTTTTTTATTATTGAAGTTCATGTATTTAAAATTCAAAAGTTTTATATGCTCCTAAGGCGACAAGTTCAGCTATGGACTTTGAGTAATTTTAAAGTACGGATTTCATATATCGAAATCTTTCTTAAGATGTGCAATATATTTGTATATTGGATTAGTGTAGCGGATAAATAAGATGGCTTACTTTGCTGACTTGAACTCAGCAGCAAACTAATTACAATTACTGAATAGGTAAGCAAAGCTGTTAATTACTATTTATAGCTTCGATTTTTTCTATGCGTCTACACGTGTGTGTGTGTGTGTGTGTTTGTGGGTATGTGTGTCTTGGTCAGGTTTCTAGGTGCCGTGTTGCATGCCTTGTGAGTGGGGGGTTTTGGGAACATAGTTCAACAATTTGCTGCCGCCAATAAGCAAAACCAATTCGCTCTTTGCTGCACTCAAATATTAGTTTGTATTTTTGTAGTTCTTGTGAGTTTCTTTCATTTTAAATATTTTTGTTCGTTTGTTTTGTTTTTGAATTTTTGTTAATCGGGTATTTTTCCTTTTTTTTTTTTTTAGGTGGAGAGGGGCAACCGGCTTACCTGAATTTATTAATTGCTTGATCACCTAATTCATAAAATTTTATTTCTTCACTAAATACGTCTAAAGGGACATTGACCGGTCTCCGTAGTCGGCCACCTGTGAAGAAAAACGTGAGCGGATTGTTGTCGATTTTGCATGTGTAATGTGTGTGCGAGTGAGTGTGTGTGTGTGTGTGTGTGTGTGTGTGTGTGTGTGTGTGTTTTGTATACAGAGTTATGTGATTTGTTGGTTTGTGTTGGTGTTGGAGTCGGTGTTGGTTTGGACGGCGGTAGAGAAGAGAAGTGGGAAAGTTGAGAATATTAGCAAATACTTCGTTTCATTGATTTGATTAATTTGAAAATTGAAATGTACGTAAATGACACTTAATTTGTACCCAATGGGAGTTTAGTTTCATTTTTGTTGTATTGGTCTACTTACCACTCTGATAATAGTATAAAATCGCATCGAAGCTCGGACGACTACGGTCAAAAAAATATTCATTTCTAAGCGGGTCAAAGTACCGTAATCTCCGAGCTGGATCCCCAAGCAGTGTGTCCGGGAATTGATTTAGCGTACGTAGTTGTGTTTCAAACCTTAACCCGCTTACCTATTGAATATATGATATATATTTGTATATGTAAATGAGTGTGTCTGTGTCTGTGTGTTTGTGTTTGTGCGTGTGTATGTGTGTACGCTTATACTGATACTCACATTTATAACGACTCTCTCGCAGAAATCATGATCGTGAGGAATGGGTTCAAAGTGTTGTGGTCCGCCACCAAAGCCATGACCAGCCCCCCCTTCTTCGTCTTGACTGCTCAATTTGGGCAAAGACCTGAAAATTATTGAATTGAAATTGTTTTACGTTTAGATATATGAGGTATACAATTATATATAAAAACAAGAAGAAAGTAACCTGTATTGGCCGGTAAAAAGTTTATAAAACTCTTCAGTACACATATTAAAACTCATCCAAGCGATATTACAAATAGTTTATAGAACAAAGCTCTAGCAAAATCTCAGAAATGAATTAAGTACAAATTAGAATTATACGCCTCAAAAACAATTGAAAATCATTGCGTCCCACACATGGCTAATGGAAGTGATATTTAATAAGATAAATGAGAAGTGCGTAAGTAGTCTCCGTATTTATATACTCGTACTCTCTTATTGATTTGGGGTATTGATTTGCCTATTTGTATTCACAACACTATAACGAGTAACTAAGCCAAAATTGATACAACGATTGGCTTTTGCTGCATCGAACTCATCCCTGCTAATCGGAAAACAAATACGTTTTGCCAACTAGGGAGGGAGAGAGTTTCTTCAAATAAGCTGCCATAAATTCGGATTTGTTTGATATCAATTAGATATGCAATGCAATATGCAGGAGATGCATAATGCAGCAATCAAATCAAATGTTGAGCTGTAATTGATATTTGATATTTTGTATTAGTGCTTGGTATTTTGCCTCAGGTATTTCCTGTGGCCACAGCTACATTGCAGCTTGTGCCCATTCAAAGCCATTAAGTGCGCATTCAATTCAATTCAATTCAATTCAATTCAACTCAACGAGCGGCAAATCGCCGTACTTTTTTTACCAAAATCCAAAAACCCTGCCACATAGCACAGGAAGGCAATAAATGTTTACACATGTAATTGAAATGGTATTACAATCACACATATAGGCACATATTTATGTATGTTGTGTATGTGTGTATGCTACTTATATATATATATATATATATATATATATATATATATGTGTATATAAAGGCATTGCATATGAAGAGGCGCCACCGCTGGCAATGTGCCTAAAAGCGTATCGCTGATGTTGCCAACACAGCAGCTGCTTTTTTTTTCCCCTTTTCTTGATGTTGTTGCACATATATTTTTGTATACCCTGTGCACATGAAAGGAGGAGATCTGATACCCAGATAGTTGAGCGAATGTATGCAACAGGCGGAGACAAGCCATCTGCGCCTGTCAGCCAGTGTGTCCTTAATGTCCGTAATGCTGACACATTTAAACTCAGTGATAACAAAAGCAGGACTAACTGCATTTTATTTATTTTTATATTTTTATATTCAGTTGATATACACGTATGGTTATGCGCATTATATAGCTGACCTGGACGTTGAGGAACAATTGCATAATTAATACATCGCTGGAATCCAAGTTGGCATAAGAACTAAAAACTTAAAAAGGGCAACCCTTTTTCGACAATTTCCATAATTGATTTCGACTTGGTGCTTGTTAATGAGCACAACGAATTTGATGTATCGATGAACTCCAAGTGTTGCACTCTCATTTTCTTTTCATATGATGTAAAGATAAGATACAGGGTATCAAATCGTCGAGCACCACCTTGCTTGTTATCTTTTGGGTTTTATTTTTTATTTTTTGGCAATCGAGTCGTTGTTGCATGGCAGTTTGCCTAGTTTTTGGCGCCCTGGCATTTAATTAAGCGTGTAAGTGCACCGCAGGCGGTCTCAGAAAGCTCGAATAAACCAGCAATTGCAGCAATCTGGCAAAGCGGCACTCCATCTCTAACCCTTAATATTTTGGCCATATAATTGCATATTTGATGAATCGCACAAATACAGTTACGGCACATATGAAGTGCACTTGCAACACGAATGCGGCATCGCTCGGAGATGATGGGGGAGTGGGTTGGGTGTGAGGCAACGAAATGCATTTGTGCATAATTGAAATGCCAAGTGAGACAAATTGTTTAGTCAAAAGCAAATACTGGGACTTTAGTTGAGCGACTATCTAACTGACTGACTGACTGACTGACTGACTGACTGACTGACTGACTGACTGACTGAATGACTGACTGACTGAATGACTAACTGACCGATCCTTGAGGTACATACATATGTCGCATGCAACTCGTGCGTTGCATGTTACTTTTTGCCGTGCGCATGACGTCAGCCTGTGCATGACATGCATGCATGCATGCATGTATGTTGTACATATGCTCCGTTTCGAGCTGTTGGCAGCATCTGTGCTTATGGATAGTTATCCATATCCAGCTGTGGGCCAGTTTTGCATTACCATCGAAATGTCAACAAACAATTGAAATTTTATGCAAAATGTGCTTGTGTGTGTGTGTGTGTATGTCTTTTTTTATTGACACACACACACACACACACAGACACAGACACGCACACACACACCTATTTGTTAGGCGGCCTGCTTTTGTGTGTTTGCCCATGTATATGTATGCGTCTAAATGCCGCATATTCAAGCAATCGTTGAATGCAGCTGCAGCTGTTGTTCTCTCGCTCGCACTTCCACTCTCTCTCTCTCTCTCTCTCTCTCTCTCTCTCTCTATCTGTGTGTGTGCGTTTCTGTTTTTGTGTATGTATATAGGTCAGCGGCACGACTGTGACGTCATTGCAAACATAGTACGTCGCCTTTTGCGACCTATTTACAAGCCGGGCTAAGACCAGCAAACGCAAACACTTTTCGCACTCACTTTATACGCTCCTCTTCGTATTTGCATTCGCTTTGCTATTCGTATTCGTATTCGTATTCGCATTCATATTCGCATTTGTTGTTGTACTTCCGGTGGTGGCAGGTATTGCATAAGCTGATTCTGCTGCTTCTGCTGCTTCTGCTGCTGAAGTTCAATGCGATGTTTCTGGCCAAATCAAAGCAGGTCGCCTGCTGAACAAAATCACAGCTCATGCATCTTATGGCAAACATCTTGGTAATACCTTCTGCGTCTCACTCTACCCCCATCTACCCTTCGTTGAGACCACTCTCTAGGCCCCACCTCTCACTCTGTGTGTGTGAGTGTGTGAGTGTGTGTGTGTGTGTGCTCTTGTCTCTGAATGTAGGCCGGTCAAGGCAACGCTAGAGATCTGCTCTCTCACTCGTCTGCCTCTGTCGTCTGCCCCTTCTTCTTGTTCGACACGTTCATATTGCAGTGGAGTCTATTTATAGCGCACGTCTTTTAAAAAGGGTATGCAGGGTATGCAGGGTATGTGCATGATGATGCATATTTCTCATGCTGCAGCACGTTCTGTTTCCTTTTCTGCTGCTGCTGCTGCTGCTACTGCTGCTGTGGGGCCAATTAATTGCGAAAAATTAAATGCAAATGCAGCAGCAGAGAGTCGCGAGCTAAATAAGTACGTGACATCAATTTGGCCAACTTGGCCCCAAGAGCCTTGAACTGGCGCAGCTACTTAATCAAGAGAGCGTGTGTGAGAGTGTGTGTGCGAGTGTGTGTCAGCTTGCGCGTATGTGTGCTATTGCCGTTAATCAAAAGTGCTGACAATAAAACAGCATTGAATGGCAATGAAGTAGCAGAAGAAGAAGACCAGTTGTGGGGCAACAGCTATTAAAAAATCCATTGCATACGCCAAGGAGCAAGCAAGCAATAAGACTGAAAAACGAGTTCAGTGATTTCACAATAATCAAGATACAGCTGAAAAATATATGCTTTTGAATGAATCTGCACGAAGAGAATATTGCTATATATATATTGATTAAAAATGCAGCTTCAAATGAATTGAAATAAAGAAATATTATGACTTAAGCATTAAGATTTATTTCATTGCTTCTCATTGCTGATTTAATTTAGAGCTAAAGCCAAGAGCAGAACTAAGTTAAACATTTTTGGCAATCAAAATGAGCAGTCAAAATTCTGATCAATTAAGAGTGGTTTAATTTTTCAGTCTTTCAGTGTTAAAACTTTCAGTATGAATGTTTTCACACATCAGTAAATAAAATCGAACCAGACAACGGAATGCACCTAAAAATCTATTTGGTTGTTATAAGTATAATTAACACGGGTCGAACGATTTTATCCTCACGTTTCATTAGTATTTTTAAGTTGCATTCGGGTTTTGCCAACCACGGTCATTAAATATTGAAGTTAATTTATATGAGCAGCAGCAGAAGCATGCACCAAGCGGGAAGCAGGAAGTAGCTACCGCTGACGTCACGTATGGCATTCAAACAGCTGCAGATAGCCGCGAAAACAAAGAATAACCTTTGCCATACACTGAGAGACTCTTGGCTCTGATGCATATGATGATGTGTTCAATAATTAAATGGTTTAGGCTTGAGATATTCGAATGCAATTTGGAGATTTGCAGTTATCAAATAGGTAATCAGTCTTATAAATATCTGAGAAAGACATACATGTACTTTTGGGTAATGTTACTGAAAGTTTTATACGACTCTTTCTTGCAGTGTATCCATAGGAATATTTCGATGTTTGTGTTGGGGAGTTCAGTTCCCATTGCAAAACAAAAAAAAAACAAAAACAAAAAAAGCACACATTTGAGTTGGAGTTTGAGTTCAAGGTGTCATTTGCTGTGGCACGCAGATAGTAGACAAACAGACCTACACACACACACACACAAGTACAAAGAGAGGGGGGAGGGAAGCGTCACGTGGCAGGTGCTGAAGACAACATTGCAATCAATCGTCGAGCCAGGCAGGAATCAGGGCAAAAACAGACGGCAAATTATGCAAATCGGCTTTAAAGCGTGAGGCCGCATGGAGTAGCACTTGCCCTTAGTTCGTTTCTCTACTTGTTTTTTCGCCTCACACAACCCCCGCCCCCACTTTTCCATTTCATACATTGTCGCTGTTGCTGGCTTTGTTGGCTGACCTTGGCCAGCGCAACTTTGCGTGCACAATTTGTGTTGCTGTTATTTTTGGCAACAATTCTCAAATTGCGCGGTGGCCAACATGCAAGCGACGCTTGTTGCTATTGTGCCACCAGCCGCCACCTGCAACGTGCGGTCGGCCAGATGGGGGTGGTGGTTGGTGGCTGTCTAAGGATTGTGGATGGAGGATGGGAGTGTGCTGCAA